TTTTATTTTTATCATACAAATTAATAATAAAAATATATAAAAAATTAAACACACTTTAACTGTGCCCATAAGGACATATGCTGAAAATTTATATATTATATATTAAATGATTCTTTTGATAAAATCAAGATATTCATTTAATAATAAAAAATATTATATAAAGATCTCAACAAATTTTATCTTATAGGCACGACAAAGCACAGTTAAACCTATAGTATTAGTAATTAGTATTAGTAATTAGTATTAGTAATTAACAGGTGGTTTTGCTTATGACATATGCGGACAATTAATTCTATTACTCATCAATTACTAAAGATTAGATAAATAATTACTATAGGATTCCTCAATTGTGCATCCAAAGTATTTGAGAAGTCCCATTTAATACTTGAGTTTCTGAGACAAAAAGATTAGTTAGGAACTACACCACCCAAACATGTCATCAACAGCCAAAGCAACTGCTGCAATTGACTAAGTCCGGCCAAATCCCTACATCTGCATTGTCTTCCTTCTTCACCATGGGCAAACCCTTATGAAAATTCATTAAGACAGTTGAAGCAGAGACCCAAAAGAGGGAGAAACTCCCACAAAGAAAAAAGTGACTCAAAAAAGGGAGAATCTAACCTTTATTCATACTCCCTAGCTGATGAAAAGGATAGAAGCAGCGGCTAGAGGCAAAGAGAGAGTGAAAAAGGGTGAATGGGGTTAGGGGAGAGGGAGATGTGTAGCTGGTAGGGTCAATTTACTCCTTAAACTAAACCTGCTTTTAATATTGTATTTTTTTTAAGCAATAGATTAACTGATAAACCACCATAAGGAAAAGGAGGAAGAGTTTGAATTCTAAGAATGGAGGTGAGAGAATGTCTCTCTTCAAATAATTTAGTCAATTAGTCGAGTGACTTTTTTTTTTTATGTTTTATAATGAGAAAACTATTTTACAAAATGAATTGTAAAAAATTATTTAAATGTCTTTAATTTTGTTTTTATATTTTTTTTAGAAATATTTAAATAATTTTATAAAGTAAATTGTATAGAGCTTACCTTGTAAAATAGTTTTCAATTTTATAATATATATTAACTGATTTTATGTAAACTGCATGGTTATACAATTTTGTTTTAATTATTTTAGGACCGTTTACCTCTGTTTGCTAAGAGAAGCCTTCTTTGGTTTCAAAATTTCCTTTGGCGAAAACGGCTTATCAGCCCTCAAACTCGTTGTTTATGGATGATTGGCCCCTAAACATTATTTTGTGGAAAACGTACCTTCAAACTTGTTGATTGTGGCAAATAACTCCTTGTTCGTGAGATGATGTCATCTTTTCGTCTATATCTGACGGAGTAGTTGTTTTGTGCTCCCCTAAGTTGCCCGTTAGTAGGATGTCAATGCGGTCTTGTGAGGTTGGGGAGCTCCTTCCCGTTCCTGTCCCTGTCATCGTCTCCGCGAATGATGGGGACAAGGATCCTTGTGGAGATTCTCATTCCCCACTAATTAATATCTAAATATATATTTTTTACATCAAATATAAATAAAAATTAATTTAACATAAATAATTAAATCAATAAATTTATTTCAAACATAAATAAAAATTAATTAAATATAAACTCTTCCAAACGTAATCTGTTCCAAATATAAATGCAAATTAATCCAACATAAAATAACATACTTGTTCTAAACATAAGCAAAAATTAATCTAATATAAGTAAAATAACTAAACCAACATCTAGCATGAAAGGAGGCAGCCAAGAGCCAACTCAAAACACTTTAGCTCTCAAATTCCACAATTGCTCATAAAAAAAACCTACAACACAATTAGTAAATACTTCATGTTAACATACTTAATCTCAGCTTAAAGGTACCTTTTTATTATAGGGCTAGCTTGTAAGGAATAAAATGTCAGTTTGCAATATCTCAACACCCACTACTTTAGCTTTTGTATCCACTAAGCAATGGTAGACAAAACTAGGAGAGAATGAGAGAAGCAAAGGCAAAGAGCGGGTGGATACAATAGATAAAGCACATCATTCTTGTATCTTTTGTATGTTGATTTTTTGAAACATAAAATATTTGGATTAAATTAACCATGAATTGGGGAGATAGTCTATAAGATTGTAACTACTGTGAGAATTTTCTTTTATCCTTCTCATGAAGTAATTTAAAACTCATATTGAGCAATCAATGAATCTAGTAAATTCTAGAAAATCTAGACTTTCTCTATGTTAAATCAACTCATAAACAAATTATTTAAACTTCTTACCATTGCAGTAGCAGTGTAGCAACGGCACAGCAAGGAAGTAGAATCGGTGCAGCAATGACGTAGCTGGGGTGCAGTAGTGGTGCTGAAGCGGTGCAGTAAGGGATTTAAGGGGAAGGTCGAAGGTGACCTAAGTGAGAGGCATAGAGAGTCCAAGAGTGAAAGGAGGTAGAGGCAGTGTTGTGAGAAGTGAGATTTAGAGAAATGAATAATAGAATAAGGTTAATTAGGGTTAAAAGCATTGGGTTGGGTTGGGTTGGGTTGAGTTGGGTTGGGTTGTGTTGGGTTGGGTTGAAAAAAATTGGGTTAAATTTTATTGAATTGGGTTTAGGTTTAAAAATTGTATTAAATTTAAAATGAATTTTTTTTTTATTTTTTGCAGGGATGGGGATCCCTACGGGGCTTTGCAAAATTTCATGGGGGAAAATGCCCTCCATCCCCACCCCACAGGAAGGAATATTTCTTCCTACCTCGTCCCTGTGGCAGAGATCCCCGCAAGTCGAGGCAAATTGCCACCCCTACCCCTTAGACATGATGTGACAACGGAGAAATCTAGCGTGGCATCACATGGCGTTGGAATGTTGAATGCCATTTTTTAATAGGTAATTGAGTTAAATTAGAATGATTGGATGAATGGAAATGATTTTGGGATAATTTTTTTTATTTTTTATATAATTTTTTGTATTATTTTTTAATATAATTTAA